AGAGTTGTGAAATAAAGAATCACCTGACTGAAGGACTCTCTTTACCATGGCCACCAGACTAACTGTTGACAGTCTATTGGGGGTCATTATTGAAGCTTTATTTTACATTTATTAGAAAAAAAACTCATATATATGGCTGTGTCACAAATTATACAACAGCTAATCTGCTTTTTTGGAATAAAGGCTAAAATGCATCAAAGAGCTTTAACATATAAAACATTATAAGATCTAGATCTACAATAATTGAAGTCTGGTGTTGGATTTAACCCAGAATGTTCTATAAGCTTCATGATAACACCGATCTGCTGATGAGAGATCACCCACAGCTGACCACTCATAAAGCCAAACAACTCCAGTGATCCAGGTGAACATCATCTCAACATGATGACGGGCGTCATGGGAAATACATAAATATCTGAAACTAAATAATTTGATGACACTATGGAGAAGTCACAGGGAACAGAGACATCAGCATCTGAATGAAAGAAGAGAGGCTGTTTTTCATCTCACTGCCCAGTGGATGTTTCTGGACTACATAAACTGCATGAGTCTGGACGACTGTTGTCTCGCCACCTCACCCACTTTACATTCATTATCCACTTATAGCAGAAGCCTGTTTGAAACTTTCTGTAGGATATTTGTTCACTGAGTGTCACGTTTCCGTTTCTCATTGGGAATCATCTCGGTTTTCACTAAACAATTTAAAACCATTAGGAATAGAATTGCAGTGTCTGATCTGTGGTTTTATACAGTTTTTGAGAAAATAGGGCAGCACAAAACATTCTGTGATTGAAATGGGTACATGTTGACTATTTCATAAAAATATATATATATACTGAGTTTACACGGAGACTAATATGTTGGATTTTAATTAGCTTTATTCTTTTACAGTAATTAAGAATTTCCTGATTTGTTCTCAAGTTCCAGATCAAGAAATTTTACAATGTTACGGTTTATGGCCAACATTCCGATTCCAGTCTTTATTTAGGGTTTGTAAATTTTCCCCAGTCAAATTTAAGGAATTAAAAAAAAAAATTCAATGTAAATGTTCAAACTTTTTTAGCTCAACATACTGAAGGTGTAGCATACCCCATGGTCAACTATTTCATCAAAATGAACAGAAATTAACTTTTAATTGGCAGACACCAACATCCCATCTGTCTGGCCTCCCAACAAGAAGCACTGCACCAGGCCTTGTCATTGGATAAAGGAGACATAAAACTAGCTACCTTATCTCGGCTGGAACAAAAGTCATGCGGAAGACAAGACTTTCTGCAATCACGCTAAATAAAGTTCATCTTCCTTGAATCAAAAATTAATTTTAAAATGTGATAATTGCATAAGTGTCATATAATAATATCTTGTTTAATCTTAAAGTGATTGAATAATGTGTGCATTAATCAGTGATGTGTTAAAATGAATATTTTTCCTGCAATGATTAACTTCAGATCTTAAACAACACCAGATCAGTATTTGTTGACTGAACATGTTAATCCATCAGTATACTCATACATCATAAGATTAATATTAAGGTTTTAACATTCACTTTACATTAATGTGTAAAAACATTTCCACTTCACACCGAGACTTAACCTCTCTGAGGATCTGAGTGGAGGCGTGATTTCAGAGGGATTTTGGTAATGCCCTTTAAACGTGTCAAATTCTGACTTGCAAAATTTATAAACAAAAGTTGATAAAAACAGGAATCACTTCCTGATCTAGTTAGTTCTCCCGAAGCATCCTGGTTTGGCCGGCCGGTGAGCAAGCATCTGGAACCATTCTCTCTTTTGGCCCCAAGGTCAAAGCCTCTCTGCAACGCTTGCGAGTGATATCAGACCCAACGGCTCTTTTAAGAGCCGCTGAACAGCCTCAGACACAAAATAGACACCAGCTTCCTGCCCGTCACCTGAAGACAACCCAGACTAAAATGGTCATACTCTGTTCTAGCTACGAGCTCCGGTACTAGAGGTCCACGCCATCTGCAGTGTCCATCTCGACCTCCTGGCCCCCTGGATCAGATGGGGATCTTCACACAAGGGTGCGTAGATTAGAGCTGAGGAAAACAATCAAATAATCGATGCATCGGGATGTGGACATAAACGATTCTGCATCGTAGAAGAGTACGCCATAATCGATTATAGTGGAATGTAGTTTTGTTTTTTTAACGGCAGCACCAGCGCCGCATCCAAATCTGTCAGAGTGAGCGTCCTCCAAATTTACCAAGTGGCTCCGCCTTAATGTGGTACTGCAGGGCTGAGCGCTGGAGTTGTAACCTGAGACAGAACCGGAACTGAATCAGCCCGACCGGTTCTGTTGGATTTAGGCCGTGAATTATGTTAATTGAGCGGGTTGTCACGCGGTGCGCTCCGCTCGCTCGATCAGTGACAGAGAGAGAGACACTGTCTGCTCACACATGAGAGGATCGGAGGATGCTCCTCCAAACACGCGTTATTATTTTCATAATTTAATTATTATTTTCATAATTTAATTATTATTTCTCCTGGAAGCGCTCAGTCAGACCGAGTGTTTTGATGCTAGGAGATACGGTCTTGGGGAGGGGCGGGGTCAATGATGGCGGCTGCAGCGTGATCGTCTGTCTCTTATTTACGGACACGGAGAAGTTAAAAGGAGAGAGAAATAGAAGATGGAAGTTCTTGTTCCACTTTATTCTTTTGTTTCATGAAGATAAACTGATGTTAAATTCAGCTGAAAGAGAAACTGGGAGGAAGCTTTGGTTCATTTTAAGTTACAGGATATCTTGTCTCCAATCTGCTCCTCCAGAGACAGCATGGACATGAGGGTTAAAGGGTGAGGGTCCCACAGGACAGGTTAGTGGAAAGGTTTGTATTTAGCTGGTTAGTGAAAGAGATCCATCAGCTGGGTAATTTAATCCTAATCCAGCCCACAGCCTTCTGCTGGTGTTATTATCAGAAATAATAAAACACACATCTTAAATATTATTGGAAGTGTAGAATTTGTTTTATGTTTTATTATTTTCTGCATCAAACAGAACTTGATTCATTCTCCAACATTTCAGAAATGAACCACTGGGTTCAAATGAAATTAAGTCAAACATTTCATTTGGTGTTATTTCTGACACCCTTCAACTGTGACATAAATGTTTGACTCTAGAGCTGCTCAGAGACATTAAACACTCATATATGAACCCATTATGTATTTTATTATTACATTATGTGTCCTGTAGGTTTTCTGTACTTTTTTAGATTTTGTGAGTTTTTGCAAAGCGTGTTTTTCTCAGCCTGAGGCGTGGTGTTGAACGAGGAAACAGATGTTTTACTTTGTTAAATCTACTTAAATGTTTAAAATGTTTTGTCCTAACCTGTTGTGAATGGAGAGCTTTTGAGGGATGGCAGGTTGTGTCAATTACGTTTTTGATAAATAAATAAAAAAGCAATTATCTGACATCTTCTATTTATCGATGAAAACAAATCAATATGAAATAATCGTGATGCATCGGGATGTCGAATCGAATTGAATGGTTGACCCAATAATCGTAATCGAATCGAATCGGGAGACAAGTGAAGATTCACACCTCTAGCGTAGATCGGCACAAATTGCGTCGTATGGTTTTATAAACAAACTTTAGCTTATCAAACCATACAGCCAAATTGATTTTTACAATCCAGACTCTACAATCTCTCTCAGACACTTAAAAGTTTGCTAAAACATCTAGATCACATCCCATCATTCCATTCATCATCTGTTGTCTGAACAACCATCATTTCATTCATACTTTGTCATTTACAATCAATTAGTTTAGGAAAAATGTATTAAAATCACTTTTATAAACTATATTTTTGACTGTCTGGATTAATGTGAAGTGTGTGTTCCCTGAACAAGTCAAAGAAACTAAAGTCTTCTGATTATACATTCAAAGACCAATCAGACTGATGTTTCATATTCATTTGGAATATCACATCTTATCGATCATTTAATATATATGTAGTCAATCCTTAACGCTACGAAGGCAAACAAAATACTCTATTTGAACTCAGGAAGACAGTTTAAACTTGCTATCATATGAAATGACTGATTGCTGTTTCCAATAGTGTCTTACGATTGTATTCTACAAAGCAGGGACACAGAAAATGAAAACATTACAAACTATGACTTTTTAAAAGGTCTCTCTCACACCCTGTGCACCTGGCTGGTCCAAATACCAAACTGTTATTTAAAAATTCCTCCAATTTAAAAATGTGTTTTCACCTATCAAATATTGAATAAACTTTACTTCAATTGCAGTCGACTCAATACCTTGTTGAGCCTTGAACATTCACGTATTTGTAAGCAAATCCCAAAAAAATTGTTAAATCCCCCCCCCCAACAGCTTCAGTAGGGTCACATCTAGCGCCCATCTAATAACTAAATGTTCGATTTTGGGTTCTCAAGTTCATTTACATTGCATTTAAATGTCTCATCTTCCTGTGCTGTGTGTGTGTGTTTGTGTTTTAATCACCAGACGATTAGTTAGAGGGGCCAGAACATAGGCTTCACGGTCACCACCTGCAACTATTCATGATAAACACCGTTTGAAATGTTGCTTGTGAGCACTTTGAACATTTTAAACATGTCAAACAGGTTTTCCTTTGCTGGATATAACGAATACTTATCAAAGGTGAAATGAGATCATTCAAAATCAGCGACTGTTTAAAAAGCGTGTTCATAAAATCGACTCATCCTATTAGGATATTCAAGTCTATGCTGACAGAAACAAAACTAAATAGTACACGTATCAGATTGAGAATTGGTTTGGCAGATGCTTTATTAGTCTGACTGTAACCGTTATTTGTAATTAATTCAAGTTCTGCTTTATTATTGAGCTGCTGTTGTTCAAGAAGTGGAGTGGTCCTAAAATCCTCAAAAATACCGTTTCTACACAACGAAGACAAAACAGAAAATCCCTCCTAATTCAGGAGTAGTGAGGGCCAAATGAACTCCTGCAATGGAAGGATTATCTTTATTTCTGTATTTTCACCAACCTGCACAAGGAACCAGGAGATGAGCACAGAGAGCCAGGGGTTCCCACCGCGGGACGTCCTCTTAGCTACTGAAAACACTTTACCTGCAGAGATGAAAGAACATTCTCAACAAAGAGAAAACCGTTGATAGCAGCTTCAACAATCTTCAAAACCAGCACCACTGGATATTTGAGGCCAGGAAGGGTTGAATTTAAATGAAGAACTGTTCTTTATTTTAGTTTTGTCTACAGTGTCAGAGCTGTGAGATCTAGACAGAGTAAATATGAAGAATCTGAAACATTTTCATTCAAATTACAAAGATTCAGTGATATTTTATGTTTAAGACATCACAGCAGCAGATTAGCTTAATGAGTCCAATCATAAACTTTAGTTACTTGAATACATTTTCCTGAGCTAAAGTACCTTGGTTGGTGTTCTGTTTGGCATTCTTAAAAACTAAAGAAGGTAGACGTAAACCATAACAGGGCAACCCAGATTAAGTTCTGCAGCGAGTTTGCGCTGCAAAGAAGATTAAAGTCACAATTGTTGACTTTTTAAAGAAAAAAATTCAAAAATTGAGGAACTATTTAAACATCAAATCCAAATACATATATATATATATATATATATGTATATATATATTTATAGTAGCCATGTACTTGCATATGCCGAAGGTGTTTAAAACTACAGAACCAATTCCACTTTACAGTAGTCCACCTTGGTTTATCTGCAGCAACAATCAACTTTGCAGCTAAGTGTGAAGTAGCAGGGAAAGGTGACCTAGGTGGAGGAAGAAGTGAGGTGGTACTATATGTAGTTGCTGTGTCCCAATATAATGGGATAGACATTTGGGCAAAGTCGGTGTGACACAGAAGCAGAACTACATTTTATTTTCCTGCATGTTGCCAACAGCACTGACAAACAATCAGAGGAGGTGAAAGCTACATCAAACAATAACCTCTGCTTCACAACACACTGAACACTACTGGTCTGTTTCTAATAAGCTATCAATCAGTGATGCTCTGGGGGTATGGCAAGCAGCTTTGTCATATAATGTACACTTTGAAGCATCGTATGGTGGGTCATTTGTGTATTTTTAATTTAAATATCTACAGAAATTATTCAGAGTGACATTTCTTGAGTTTGACACACCACCTGTGGGACACACTCTATGGTTCAGATTGGAGGAAAACAATTCTGAACACAAATAAATATAATTTTATTCTTTATTGATGTACCTAAACCACCAGTTCAGTTTTATCAAGTTTGTTTTTTGGACTTTGCTTCTGAAAGAGTTACTCTGTTAAAAGAAGATAAAAGAACATCTAATGTTTTGATTTTTTCCTGCTGAACTAAAAACCAGACACCTGTAACTTGTGTGTTGCTGCATGTGTATCAGTACTCTGCATTAGTGAGTACCCAACCAAACACATTCTCAGTTAGAAAACCTGCAGCGTAATTCATTTATCCAATCAGATTTGTGTTACAACTGACTGGTTTAGTCTCTATTACTGAGGTTATGAGAGCAGAATGCCAAGCAGACACTTATCCTGCTTGGTGTTGCCATCTGTCTCTAAAGTCATACTGTTTCCTAATGCTTTTATACATAATATGATACACAGGCTGCAACGTACAAACCACATCATATTTGGACAAGACATGGCTAAATGTATTGTCCCCGACTTCCAAACAAATTCATGTAATTAACTCAATGTCTGCTTTTAAAGTGGAAAGGGAGTGAGTGTGTGTGTGTGTGTGTGTGTGTGTGTGGGGGGGGGGGGGGGGGCAGTAACAGAGACAAACTGAGCTGATGAGTCACTTAATAACCCACAGAGCTGTTTGGTTTACTGGTATAAAGCCCGTGGGAGCATAACCTGCAGCTCTCAGATACCTCCGTGTTTCCTCTCACGGCCTTGATCTGCTGAAATGTGGCAGCTAAGTTCAGCAGAAAGTACATGACAGAAAAACTAAAAGTCAAACTGAGGCAAGCAGGCTAAATGCAGAAGTTTGAGAGCAGATTTCACACCTGATGAAAAGTCTGGAATTAAATACGCCAGACTTTTAAGTCGAATCAATGCAGCTGAGAGGAGTCGACTGAAGGGATGGAGAAAGCAGGACAGGAGTGAAGGAGATGGAGATTAGCAAACTCTAGAGATGAAAGCGACGGAGATGTGTTGGAAGAAAACTCTTTTTGGGTGTGTGTAGTGTGTGTTTGGAGACCGACACAGCCATCAGTCAGTTTGTGTAGGACAGTGGCAAGGTTAAGCAATGAGCAGCATGCCTGAATGACACGAACACACACATTCGCTTATACAGAGGCCACAGTAAGCACTTCAAAAACACCCCCACCACTACCTTACACAGTAATGGTTCCACAGTCAGTAGCCCCTAATTAAACAGATTAATCTAATTTATGTTAACCCTTTGGCTGTTGGTGAGTGGACAGGCTCGTACTCGAGTCATCTGCCCGTGATCCTTTTGATCACCTGACAGAGGAACTACTGTTAATACAGCCATTTATCTTCCCTAAAACACACAGCAGCTCAGCTACGAGAACGAACAGAACCAAGACAAACCAGTTTAGGGGTAGACCTGCCAAAGGAAAAGATGATGAGAAGAGGAAGGTGCTCACTGCTACTAATAAAGAAAACAGATGCACAGAATTAACCCTGAGGGGTGATGGAAACGCAAATTCATTCATATGTAATTGATTCCCTGGCTGTTTTTATTTAAAAGGTTTATAAAATTATAGGTGGCATTTTCATTAGCTATGCCACACATTATTCCTAAATACTTTAAAGCATTTACAACCGTACAGCTGTGGACAGACAGTTTAAAGGTCTCACTCATTTTGAAACAGTGTAAACCCTTTCTTTTTATTTTTTAATACAAATGGTCATTCTGAGTAGCACATGAATGCAGAATGAGAACATTTTCTTCAACCCCTATCGCCTGCATTGGTACATTACACATTCATGGTTCCACAGTCAGCAGCTGGTTGCATTAGCTCCAGAAAGAAAATAGACAAAAAACAGGGAAAGCATTGAATTCAGAAAAAGCCTAATTCTTCTAAGTCACTGAGAAAATTTGCATTCCAGGACTCACCCACCTTGGCTTGTGCCAGGAGAGAGCAGAGCACATCTCAGCTAGTAGAAACTAGCCATCAGCAACTCCACAGCATGATGGAACATATTTAGCCTTGTGTTATTTATGATGATAAAAACGAGAGGTAAAATTTCATCCAGTCTGATCCGCTTTCTCAAGGTCTGCCAACAGAAAAACCTCAAGAAGTACTCCTGCAGATGCCTCTGGCTTGACTGAAGATGGAAGAGAAAGCACAAGCTAGAAACGTCCAGTTGGAACTGGAAATATGATGTATGGAGAAGCCAAGACTGCTATTTGAATCCAAAACTTGAATTGGATGTCACAAAAATGGATAGCACCACTTCCCGTCTACAGCGCCACCACAAACTGCTGTAACACCGACCTTTGACTTCAGTAGGTGAATTTCCCTTATGCGTGCATTCAGAGAGACCAAGGTTGCCAGCTGTTTTGTGGCTCTTAAGCGAACTGCGGCTGCGTTCCACTGGCTGCACGAGGTGTGGTCTCTTCTACTACAATGTGGGCCGAGTTGCAGAGCTTTAGGGCTGTGGCATACTTGCTGTTTAACCTCACACGCAGCAGGCTTGTTCACATACTTGGTGCTGCACAGGACTGAACTGTGTGTAGTACTGGAGTGTTTCACTAGGGTGCGCACTAGACTTCAGACCAGATAGAGAGCCGGGTTTGTGGGTGCAACCAAAACAAACATGGCATTATTAGAAGAGATCAGTAACTGGTTCATTTTGAGTTCACGACAGGAACCGTCACCTTATCGTGGTGGAGGAGTTTGAGTGCCCTAATGATCCTAGGAGCTATGTTGTCTGGGGCACTTAGTGCCCCTGGTAGGGTCTCCCATGACAAATTGGTCTTAGGTGAAGGGTGAGACAAAGAACGGTTCGAAGGATCTTTCATGGCGGTTAAAACGAAGAGTCGGAGTACCCGGCCCGGAGGGTTACCGGGGTCCCACCCTGGAGCCAGGCCTGGGGTTGGGGCCCGTGAGCGAGCGCCTGGTGGCCGGGCTTTCGCCCATGGGGCCCGGCCGGGCCCAGCCCGAACCGGATACATGGGCTTGTCCAACTGTGGACCCACCACCCGCAGGAGGAACATGAAGGGTCCGGTGCAATGCGAATCGGGTGGCAGACCAAGGCGGGAGCCTTGGCGGTCCAATCCCCGGACAAGAAAACTAGTTTTTGGGACATGGAACGTCACCTCGCTGGCGGGGAAGGAGCCGGAGCTTGTGGCAGAGGTTGAGCGGTACCGGCTAGATATAGTCGGACTCACCTCGACACATTGCATTGGCTCTGGAACCCGAGACCTGGAGAGGGGTTAGACACTCTACTTTGCTGGAGTTGCTCCGGGTGAGAGGCGGAGGGCTGGGGTTGGCTTTTTGTTAGCCCCGAGACTCTCTGCCTGTGTGTTGGGGTTTACCCCGGGGGACAAGAGGGTAGCTTCCTTGCGCCTTCGGGTCGGGGAACGGGTCCTGACTGTTTGTGCTTATGGGCCAAATATCAGTTCAGAGTACCCACCCTTTTTGGAGTCCCTGGGACGAGTGCTAGATAGTGCTCCATCAGGGGACTCCATTGTCCTGCTGGGGGACTTCAATGCTCACGTGGGCAATGACAGCTTGACCTGGAGGGGTGTGATTGGGAGGAACGGCCCACCTAATCAGAACTCGAGCGGTGTTTTGTTATTGGACTTCTGTGCAAGCCGCAGTTTGGCCATAACGAACACCATGTTCGAACATAAGGATGCCCACCGGTACACTTGGTACCAGGGCAGCCTAGGTCACAGGTCGATGATAGATTTTGTAGTCGTATCATCTGACCTGCGGCCGTATGTTTTGGACACCCGAGTGAAGAGAGGGGCGGAGCTGTCAACTGATCACCACCGGGTGGTGAGTTGGATCAGATGGCAAGGGAACATGCCGCGTAGACCTGGCAGACCCAAACGCATAGTGAGGGTCTGCTGGGAACGCCTGGCAGAAGAACCTGTCAAGACGGTCTTCAACTCCCACCTCCGGCAGAGATTTGACCACGTCCCGAGAGCAGTGGGGGACATTGAGTCCGAGTGGGCCTTGTTCCACTCTGCGATTGTCGAGGCGGCTGTTGCTAGCTGTGGTCGTAAGGTGGCCGGTGCCAGTCGTGGTGGCAACCCCCGTACCCGCTGGTGGACACCAGAGGTTCGGGGAGCCGTCAGGCTGAAGAAGGAGGCCTACAGGGCGTGGCTGGTCTGTGGGTCTCCGGAGGCAGCAGACAGGTACCGGATAGCCAAGCGGGGTGCAGCAGTGGCAGTTGCCGAGGCAAAATCTCGGGCGTGGGAGGAGTTTGGTGAGGCCATGGAGAAAGACTATCGATCGGCTCCAAAGAGGTTCTGGCAAACTGTCCGGCGCCTCAGGAGAGGAAGGCAGCAACTCGCTCACACTGTTTACAGTGGGGATGGGGAGCTGCTGACGTCAACTGAGGCTATAGTCGGACGGTGGAAGGAATACTTTGAGGAGCTCCTCAATCCCACCAATGCGCATTCTGAGGAGGAACCAGAGCTGGGAGGCCTGGGGATGGACTGTCCGATCTCGGGGGCAGAAGTTGCTGAGGTAGTCAAACAACTACACAGCGGCGGAGCCCCGGGGGCGGATGAGGTTCGTCCTGGGTATCTCAAGGCTATGGATGTTGTAGGGCTGTCATGGTTGACACGTCTCTACAACATTGCGTGGTCATCGGGGGCAGTTCCTAGGGAGTGGCAGACCGGGGTGGTGGTCCCCATCTTTAAGAAGGGTGACCTGAGGGTGTGTTCCAACTATAGGGGGATCACACTCCTCAGCCTCCCTGGAAAGGTCTACTCCAAGGTACTGGAGAGGAGAGTCCGATCGATAGTTGAACCTCAGATAGAGGAGGAGCAATGTGGTTTTCGTCCTGGCCGTGGAACTGTGGACCAGCTCTATACCCTTGCAAGGGTGATGGAGAGGGCATGGGAGTTTGCCCAACCAATCCACATGTGCTTTGTGGATTTGGAGAAGGCTTATGACCGTGTCCCCAGGGGCACCCTGTGGGGGACGCTCCAGGAGTATGGGGTGGGTGGCTTTCTGTTAAGGGCCATTCAGTCCCTTTACCAGAGGAGCGTGAGTTTGGTCCACATAGCCGGTAGTAAGTCGGACCTGTTCCCAGTGAGGGTTGGACTCCGCCAGGGCTGCCCTTTGTCACCGGTTCTGTTCATCACTTTTATGGACAGAATTTCTAGACGCAGCCGTGGTGTGGAGTGTGTCGAGTTTGGTGGCAGGAGAATCTCGTCTCTGCTTTTTGCGGATGATGTGGTCCTCCTAGCTTCATCCAGCTCTGACCTTCAGCTCTTGCTGGGTAGGTTCGCGGCCGAATGTGAAGCGGCTGGGATGAGGATCAGCACCTCCAAATCTGAGACCATGGTTCTCGACCGGAAAAGGGTGGCTTGCCACCTCCGGGTCGGGGGAGAGGTCCTACCTCAAGTGGAGGAGTTTAAGTATCTCGGGGTCTTGTTCACGAGTGAGGGTAGGAGGGATCGGGAGATCGACAGGCGGATTGGTTCGGCGTCTGCAGTGATGCGGACGCTGAGCCGATCTGTCGTGGGGAAGAGGGAGCTGAGCCAGAAAGCCAGGCTCTCGATTTACCGGTCGATCTACGTCCCAATCCTCACCTATGGTCATGAGCTTTGGGTAATGACTGAAAGAAAGAGATCGCGGATACAAGCGGCCGAAATGAGTTTCCTCCGTAGGGTGGCCGGGCTCAGCCTTAGAGATAGGGTGAGGAGTTCGGACATTCGGGAGGGACTCGGAGTAGAACCGCTGCTCCTCCGGATCGAAAGGAGCCAGATGAGGTGGTTTGGGCATCTGGCAAGGATGCCTCCTGGACGCCTCCCCGGGGAGGTGTTTCGGGCATGTCCTGCCGGCAGAAGGCCCCCGGGTCGACCCAGGACATGTTGGAGAGGTTACATCTCCAATCTGGTCCGGGAACGCCTTGGGGTCCTGCCGGAGGAGCTGGTGGACAAGGCCGGGGAGAGGACGGCCTGGAGCTCCCTAGTTGGGATGCTGCCCCCGCGACCCGGACCCGGATAAGCGGAGGAAGACGACGACGACGACGACAGGAAAAATGACAGCAGCGGTACCGTAGATGGTATGAAAGACGTCTAAACCAGAGACGGAGTCACCATGGTGAGTGTGTCTTGCTCATTTTGTCAACTCCACCATTACTCTAATGTCCCTCTGGGATTAATAAAGTATTGATTGAGTGATTGATATTGCAGCGTTCAAAAAGAGTACACACAAACGACACTTCAAATCAATGCAAGAAATGGGTGGCAGCCATTTTAACACAGTTTCACACGGGAAGCATCAGCGGTGCGTAACAGCAGCAGAACGGTTACTCACAAAAAGCAGCAGGTCTACTCCAAGCCCCTCCTGGATGACCGAGCTTCTCATCCTATCTCTAATGGAGAGCTCAGCCACCCTGTGGAGAAAGTCTTGTATACGCGATCTTGTTCTTTCGGCCACTACCTAAAGCTTGTAATCATAGGTGAGGGTAGGAACGTAGATCGACTGGTAAATCAAGAGCTTTGCCTTCTGGCTCTGCTCTCTCTTCACCACAACAGATTGATACAACACCCACATCACTGCAGATGCAGCACCAGTCCGTCTATCGATCTCATGCTCCATCTTTCCCTCACTCCTGAACAGTCCTACTCCTAGTATTATTAGAAGCAGCCTAGAAAAGGAAAGTGCTGCACCAGATTTGCGGACAAATAATTGGATTCCCACCTTCCATCCACATGAAGTTTAGGGATGAGTTGGATAAGAACTTGCTAAGCAGTTAGCAGGAATACCCTGTAATTTAAAACTCGTGTAATGATAGAGTATGAATGAAAGATAGTTGTTGTAATATGGTAAAGAAAATAGACATATAAATTGGAGGAAGAGAGACCAGAGAAGGATCATGATTGTTAGCTATGCAATGTCTGCAATGTTTTTTAGTCTTAAGGGTGGGGGTGTTACGGCCTTCGTCTGTGTGCTCCAGTTGCTGCCGTTTTCTCCTGCTTACAGCCCCTTGAAAAGCTCAATTTTGGTTGTGCTGTAATGAAATCAGCACCATGGACAGCTCCATGCTGGAAGAGCCCTGCACAGCTATGCAGAAACATCTTAATGACTGCTGAATGAGCAGCACCTTATAAAAGGGAGCAGATCACCCTTGCTCTTTGGAGAATGAGGACACAGATCCGTGTACGTGTCTCACTTCTGATTTGGTTGAATGTTCAAAAGAACTCAGCATGTTGAGCAGTAAGCTGTAAATAACCACTTGATGTTGTTGTCACGGAACTCTCACCCCTCCTGTCAGCGATCATCCCTGGTCCACGTCTACCTTGTTTAGGAACTCACTTTCCCACAGTATATGAGATAGAGCTAAACAAGCTAAAAAAAATTAAAAATCCAACAAAAATAAGAATAAAACCCTGAAACAGTCAAATTTGTGAAAATCAACATTTGTGTCACTCTTAATTTCTGGCCACCGCTAAAGAATTCTGACTCATAATTTGGCTTCTATTCTTAAGATCATTTTTCTTTGCTTATTTTTAGGGAGAACAATTTTTGGTTATTTTATTTATTTATTTAAAAAAACAGGGAATAATATTTATAATAATATTAGTCATGTCCTGGATTACTTAAGTACAGCAGCACAATGTGGCCACTAGCTTGCGGTGGTGAACAGCTTTTCTTTTTCACTTCCTTTTAACTGAGGAGCTTCTTGAGTCGGAGCACTGAAAAGCCATCAGTGGGATAAAAAACCAACATCTGACTGCAGTTTCCACAGGAATTGCTACACTGCAGAGAATCATGAATCGAATCGTGCTACCCACCAAATAAGTCATCCTTCGCCAGGGCGTAGAGAATGCGAGAGGCTCCGATGAGATTGCTCATTGCGGCAGAGAGAGTAGATGAGTAAACTCCAATGATTACGAAGGGATGCCAGACGTTGATGTCCCCCAGAAAACTGTAATCCCTCTGGAGAAGAACACTGTGAAGGTTAAAAGAATTAAATCAACAAATTTACCTCCACCTGTTCATGAAATTACTACAATCTAAGTTATTATTTAACAGGACAGACACCAATAGGCAAAGAAAACAGAGCATCAAGTGCTGAAGATGTTTAGAGAAAAAAAGTCTGAAGTACGATACCACTACAAGGCTTTCAAAGCATAATTTCCAGTTGTAAACAAAATAATTTCCTTTTCTTGGGTTGATTTTAAATTCAACAACACGTTTTTATGCATTTTTGTTAGAAAGATTTTCAAATTAAAGTCAGATGACAGAGTTTAGGAAACTAATTTTTTGTATAATCTCATGTGTGAAAAACTACAGCACATAATTACCAAACTTGAACAAAAGGAGGTTCAGTAA